TAAAATGAGGTTGGGCCACGTTTCTCAATTTTTCCCTTTCTTTCTTTGCCAGTTCCCGTAGTCGTTCTCTCTGGCCGAAATCCAGTTACACCTGAATGCGTGGAGATGGGGATCCTGATTGCCCACTGGCTCCAGGAAGTATCCCGAAGGAGGCCGCGGCCTTCCAGTCCACTCAGGCCCGAGCCGTGATTTAGCCGACGCTTTCCAGCTCCTACCCGCACGAGGAGACCGAGCTCCCCGTCCGCGGACCCACCCCCGGAGCGAGCTTTGGCATCTCCCCGAATTCACAGCTGCTCTCCCTCCCTGCTGGGCCCCAACGCACGCAGGGGCACTGCACGCAGGGGAAGCTCTCGTGTCGCGGGTGACTGCAGCGCGAACTGCCGCGGGCCTGCGTACGGTCCCCTCCCCACGGCTTCCTGCAGAAGCTGATCGGCACGGGGTGGGGTCCTCGGTCGGCTGGAACCGGCGCCCTGCCACCCCCGCCCCGGTCAAAGAGGGCTGTAAAATTCCGGAAGAGAGATTAGAGGCAGGGGATGGGTGGGGCGGTGAATCAGTACATTCCTTGCTCCCCCTGCCTCCTCTCCGGGTATCACTCAGGGAGCGTTGGGTCCTCTCATGACTTTCTCCTGACTGGTCCACCGACAGGGTCCAGACATGGGGTCCAAAATCAAACGCGATCCTGAGCTGAACTTTGTAGAGCCTGGATCGCTTATTTTGCAGCCGGGGAATTTTGACTGTTTTTGCAATTGGGTCCTTTCCATAAGAGTGCTTTGTAGGCCTTTCTGTGCATTAGTTAGGAGCTCCTATTTACTGAGCAAGCCTCTCCTATGAGGCAGGTACAGTTGCTCTTCCTTTCCCCAAAACTTTGCCATATAGGCATACTTCAATGTTAGAGGCAAGGAATCTGAAGGCTCACAGAGATTAGGTTACTTCACCAAGGTCATACAGTGGCAGAGCCAAGAATAATCCCAGCTCTATTGGTTCCATACATTTCCCACCACACCCCGCTGCTTCTTTTACTTTAGGTCATTGAAAGACAAGACTTATTTGTTAGAGAGTAGGGAAGTAACATTTATGGACCACCTCCCACTGTGCCAGCTACTTTAAATATATTGGCTTTAATCATTTAATTTTTCACAACACAGTGAGATAGTTGTGATCATCATGCCTATATTACACATGAGGAAACTTGAGAGGACGAGAATTTAAGGGGCAGAGCTAGGATTCCTGTACATTCATATTACAAAGCCTACGTTCTTTCTAAAACCACAATTAATGTCTGTACAGTGCTTGAAAGTTTACAAAGCATTTTCAAGCTCTTCATTACACAGTTATCATCCCATTTCACAGATGAGGATAGAGGTTCATTCATGAAGTTAAGACATCTGTCCAAGGTTACAAGGCTAGTAGTAAGTGCCAGAGCCTGTTAATTTTGAAATAAACTCTACAGAGCTGGTAGTACCAACCCTCATTCCATTTATTCATTCCACAGTGCCAAGTACCATTCCGATAATTATAATACTAGCAAACATTTACTGAACACTTAACATGCATTCATTATGTGAGTTATGCACATTAACTCCTTTAGTGCTCAAAAAACCTTATGAGGTAAATAGTGTTACCTTTTCCATTTTACAGATGGGGAAATTGAGATTCAGAGATAAAGTAACTTCCTAAAGTTACAAAGCAACTAAATAGCAATGCAAGGATGCCAGATGAGATGTTGTGTCCCAGGGTAGGGACCAGGTGCCTGGGTTATGTCCCTATCTCTGTTTAAAACTACTTCTCCAAGGGCCTCGGTTTCTTTGTCACAGCACCTGTGACTTCTTTCTCTAACTCCTGCTCTCAAGGAGCTAATGCTCAGTAAAATCAGCCAAGAACACCACCAGCTTTGTCTCACAGGGGTGCTGGGAGGATTAATTAGCTAATGGCACTTGGAATGTTTCAGCAAAGGCACTGGATAAACTCAGGCCACTTATTATGTGTGAAATACACTGCCAAGGGTGTTTTATGCTGTAATAAGGCACCTGCAGCCCAGTTCCTGATCTGTTTGAGATGTAGAGGAAGTAAAACCATGTTATAGCTTTCCTTGGGAAACCACTTAGATGTTAGGAAATAGAGCATCTCTCTGCTGTCCTCAGGGTGCCATACTGGTGTCAGGCCTTTCCTTCTCAGAGGCAGGTGTTTTACCATCTCAGAAAGGTTTTCAGCTTACTCTGAAGGACACCAGTTATTGACTGAAGTCAGAAACTAATGATTATTTGGGCTTCAGAGGCAGACAAAGCTGGGCCAAATCCTGCTTCTGTCATTCCATCTCTGAGAGTTTCCATTCCCTTTTAAAATAGTGTTATAATACCTTCCTCACAGGATCATTTTGAAGCACAAACTTGATAAAATATTTAAAAACACCTCACTCAGGGCTTGGAATAGAGTGGATGCTTAAATAAAAGGTAACTATCATCATAGCCATTACTGTTATCCTTCCGTTGTTGTTACATTATTTACTGATACTTTAGGGCCAGACTGAGAGCTAGGTATAGGGAAGATTTATTCATTCGTTCAACAGTCTACTAGATTACCCCAAGTAGATCAGTCTAAGCAGTGGAAAATCATGAAAATAAGCATTTACAACATAATGTTATAAGTGCTATTGTAGGGGATTGCATAAGGTGTTCTGAGACTTCAGCAGAAGAATCAATAACCAGCAGATGCAGGAAAAGTTTTCCAGAGGAGGTAGTTTTTTTTCCAAGTCTGTGCTTTGGGCAAGTGGAAAATGCTGCCTGCTGGAAGCAGGCAGAATGCAAGCGGCAGCTGAGCCTGTGCTCCTCACCCAAAGGCCTTGATTCTGATCTGTTGTCACTCTTGTTCCTCAGCAGCCCTGCCAGCCAGCCTTGCCCTAGAATACCCCCACCTGGGCCACCTGCTGGTGGTGAACATCCAGGGTTCTGTGATGTGGCTAGATGTGGCTGAGTCATAAAACCTTTCTTTTTACTGCTAAGCCCTAATGGAAGCCTTCTGGTCAGGTGCAATGCCCAGGTCTACCGTGTGGGGAAGGCCTAATAGTGACTGACCACTGTTTCTTACCACAGGGCCAGATGAACATGTGTGTGGCAGTGAGGTGGGGGAAAGGTAGCCTAATGGGCGTGTTCATTTCCTTCTAGATAGGTGCCAGTTACAGACAGGTGAGATTTCCCAGGGTGCATCAGGAGGACAGACCCTCCCTTCCACCCCAATTCTCATGGGGGAGCCTCTCCCCTTCCTCAGAAGCCAGACTCCAGTGCCTCTTTCTGGCTGCCATCTGTCAGTGGCCCAAAACAGTCTCACTGGTGACCACATTTTCCGAACCAAAACTCAGGACGCATGATCTGGCAAAAAACTTCTGGCCAGCTTTCAAATGCAAGAGGCAAAAACCTTTAGACAATCTTATCTCTAGAACAATCCATGTCATTAATGGGAACTTGAGGTTGGAAACTTTAAAATTGAGGGTCTCCTCTTTATCAAGCATTTCTCATATATTATTGATACGTGAGAAAAGCCTCATGAGGTAGCTGATTATTATTTCCATTTAATAGTTGAGAATACTTACAGAGAGGAAACCACTTGCCCAAGATCCTATATCCTGGTAGTCTGAATTTTGTTCTGTCATGGAGGGTTCTTAGGTTTGACTGATTGATTGATTGGTTGTGTGTATCGCTGGCGGAGCAGGGGCGCGGGGGTGGGGGTGGGGAAGCGCAGAAATATCCTTTGCAAGGATGCACACGCCATGTACTTGAGGCCTCTAGGAAGGGCAACCAAGAACTGAGCTGCCCGGTTCCCACTTGTGAGTTGGAAATCCCCGAGCACAGGACTTCGTCGCCGCCCCGTCCCATCAGGATCTGGCCCCAAGTCGCAGGGCCCGGGAGCAGGAAAAAGCCCTACGACCTTGTGGATCACGCGGCGGCCGCGCGCCCTTGTCCCAGCCCAGGTGCGGATGGGCGGGGCGCAGCGTGGGCTAGCGACT